GGCAAGTGACCCCTCTCTGCCCCCCGACCCCCCCCCCCACGCCTCTGGTTGGAACCTACCAGCCGCTCTGTGGAGAAAAGACCTGAGGATCTGCTCCCAAAGATTGTTGTTCGGTGCTGTGGGATCCAACTCATAGTGATCCCGTGTGACAGAGGAGAACTGCCCCGTAGGGTTTTCTGGGGGGAAGGAGCCCTTGGTACAGTGGTTAAGCCTCAGCGGCCAACCAGAAGGTCGGGGGTTCATCTGCTTCGTGGGAGAGAGATGTGGCAGTCTGCTTCTGTAGAGATTACAGCCTTGGAAGCCCTATGGGGCAGTTCCGCTTTGTCCTATAGCGTCGCTATGAGTTGAAATCCACTCGACGGCAACGGGTTAATCTTTACAGGAACAGATTGTCATGTCTTTCTGCCGCTCCAGCAGAACACTTAACCACCATTGCGCTTAACCACTGTTGTGCCACCAAGGCTCCTTACTTAAAGATTACAGCCAAGGAAACCCTATGGGGCAGTTCTCTGTCACATGGGGTTGCTATGACTTGAAGTTGACTCAATGGCACCCAACAACTCTCACCATCTAATAGCTGTGTGATTTTTGCACATATGACTTATCCCTCTGAGCCTCAGTTTCCCCTGCTAGGAACTGGGTGTTCATCCTTCACGCACGAAGAGGCAGTCTAGGGCAGTGGTTTTCAAAGTGCAGTCTCAGCATTGCCTGCTGGAACTTGAACAGAAATGTATGTTCTTGGGCCCATCCAGGCCTACCGAGTCAGCAGCCTGGGGTTCCACATGCCTTCCAGGTGATTCCAACACATGCTCAAGTTTTAGAACCACTGCTCTGGTGGTAAAGAGCATAGACTGTGGAGTCCCGTAGCCCAGGTTTGAATCCCGGCCCCACCACTTCCTCACAGTGTTATCATGCCACTGACTTGATCATTCTGTGCCTCAGTTTCCTCCCTAACCTCCTTAACAGGACGACCCTTAAACTGAATATTCACACCGAGGGGAGTCCCTGAGTGGTGCAAATGGTTAACATGCTCGGCTGCTAACTGAAAGGTTAGAGGTTCAAGTTCACCCAGAGGTATCTCAGAAGAAAGGCCTGGCAATCTCCTTCTGAAAAACTAGCCATTGAAAACCCTATGGAGCACAGTTCTACTCTGACACACACGGGGTCACCATCAGTCAGAGTTGACTCGGTAGCAGCTGGTCGTAGTAGTATGCGCTAAGAGGCAGCTGTTGTTGGTTGCTTTTGAGTCAATTCTGATTCATAGCGACCCCATGTGACAGAGTAGAACTACCCCACAGGGTTTTCTTGGCTATAATCTTTACGGAAGCAGATCACCAGGTATTTTTCCTATGGAGCCGCTGGGTGAGTTCGAACTGCCAACCTTTCGATTACCAGCTGAGCACTTAACCGTTGCACCACCAGGGCTCCTTCTGAGAGGCAGTGGTTAAAAGTGGAGTCTCTGGAGCCAGACTGCTGAGTCCCCAGAGGCCCCACTTCCTGGCTGTGTGGCTTCCAGCAACTTCCTTAACCTCAATCTTGTTTGTGAAATGATGCTGATAAGAGTACCTCTCTGCCTGGAAAGGGTAAAATGAATGAAAGCATGTAGAACATTGCCTGGCACAAGTAATATTACTCTTATCATTCATTCAACAAATACTAAGAGCTCTTAAAGTATTCATTATTACTATAATTATCATCTTTGCTCAAAGGTCACCTCCTCATAAAAGTCCTTTGTGGCCATCCCATCTAAGCGAACAAACCTCATCTCCCTCTAGCCCTTTTTGTCACGACACAAGGTCCCTGGGTGGTGTGAACAGTTTGTGCTCAACTACGAAACTAAATAGGAGCCCTAGTGGCGCAATGGTTAAGCACTCAGCTGCTAACCAAAGGTCAGCGGTTCGAACCCACCCAATGGCTCCACAGGAGAAAGACCTGGCCATCTGCTCCTGTAAAGATTACAGCCTAGAAAACACTATGGGATCCAAGTTCAGGCCATTAGAAATGGTTGAAAAATACAAAGCAGAGGGTGAGAAGAGATGTGTGGGTGTCATTTAAGGGGCATGGTGACATTTGAAGGAGCCCTGGTGGCACAGTGGTGAAGTGCTAAGCTGCTAACTGAAATGTCGGTGGTTCAAACCCACCAGCCGCTCCTCAGGAGAAAGATGTGGCAGTCTGCTTCTGTAAAGATTACAGAAACCCTATGGGGCAGTTCTACTCCATCCTATTGGGTTGCTATGAGTCGGAATTGATTTGGCATTACAGAGTAGCGGGTGACATTTGATGAAGGTGGCAGACACATAAATGAATAAATTCATTTAACAAATATTTGCTGAGTGCACACAATGTGCCAAGTGCTCGTCCAGGCACTAAAGAGGATGAATGAGACAACCGAAAACCAAAGACGAACAAATAAAAACAAGATGGCTTCGGGGGTGTGTAAAGTGCTGAGGGAACTAATAAACAATGCCCACAAATCAGTTACTCTGTGCCCGGCACAATTCCAAGGCATTAACTCTTTCAATCCTCAAAATGGCCCTGTAAAACCGGTACTGCTGTTGTTGTTAGGTGCCATGGAGTCAATTCCTACTTATAGCGACCCCATGTGACAGAGTGGAACTGCCCCATAGTGTTTCCTAGGCTTTAATCTTTACAGAAGCAGATGGCCAGGTCTTTCTCTGGTGGAGCAGCTGGTGGGTCTGAACTGCCAACCTTTTGGTTAGCAGCCAAGCACTTAACCACTGCACCACGAGGGCTCCTGAGAAGCCCAAGGAGGAGCAGATTTGGAGGACCTGAATGAGTGAGGGTGTCGCCTAAGAGACACATATCAGTGCCATTGGGATGCATCTACCATAGACAGCAGATCCCACAAATGTCAACATCAGAAACCAAGCCACTTAACACTTTCCATCCACAACTCTTCCTGTGTGTGAACACACATCCTTCCTTTTCCAAGTGATCAGAATGACACTATTCTCCACAGATTGTCCTGAAGAATAAATTGACGGAATAAAAATAATAGCTAAAAACAAAACAAAACCTCACAGCATGCTTGTCCGTTTTCCCATTCTTGCCTATTCTGTAATATTCTTTGGACTCAGGCAGACATGGCTGTGGCAGCATGCTTGTCTGTTTTCCCACATTTGTCTGTTCTGTGATATCTCCTTGGACTTGGGCAGACATGGCTATGGCAGCATGCGTGTCCCTTTTCCCACTTTTGCCTTCTGAATGTATGCCGAATAAAACTTCATTTTTGCTTTCAAAAACAAAACCTCAAACCCATTGCCATCGAGTTGATTCTGACTCATGGTGACCCATGTGCATCAGAGTAGAACTGCGCTCCATAGGGTTTTCTTGGCTGTAACCTTTACAGAAGCAGGTTGCCAGGCCTTTCTTCTGTGGCACTGCTGGGTGGGTTCGAACCACCAACCTTTAGGTTAGTAGTCGAGAACAAACCATTTGCGCCACTCAGGGATCTAACAGCTAAATAATTAACACATGTGGGGCTTCCTACTTGCCAGACACTACTGTTCCAAGTCTTCACACACACACACACACACACACACACACACACACACATATTTAATCCTCACACAGCATCTCTAACAACCCTATGAAGTAGTATCTGTTATTATCCCCATTTCACAGATGAAGAAACTAAGGCTCAGAGAAGTTAAATAACTTCCTTGTAACTTGTTGGATGTCCCACAACCAGTAAATGGCACAGCCAGAGTGTATATAAAGCTTTTCGGTACCTATCAATACAAATAAAATCAAGTTTCTAGCTGTTACTATTTTTTAAAAAAAACGTGGCCATCAAGTCAGTTCTGACTCACGCTGACCCCACATGTGTCAGAATAGAACTGTGCTCCATAGGATTTTCAATGGCTGATTTTTTAGAAGTAGATCACCAGGCCTTTCTTCTGAGATGCCACTGGGTGGACTCAAACCTCCAGCCTTTCGTTTAGCAGCTGAGTGCGTTAACCATTTGTACCACTCGAATAAAATAGAAAGTTCAGTTCCTCAGTCACACTAGACACATTTTAAGCGCTCAATAGCCACATGACACTACCATATTGGACAGCGCAGATAAAGAACATTTCCATTACTGCAGAAAGTTCTATTGGACAATGCTGGGTCACAGATTACCTCTGGAAAGATATACAGTGAAACCTGTGAGAGCCGGAACTCGACAGGACTGCTTTGTTTTTCCAGGTCTTTCAAGTTTTCTGCCTTTGACAGGGTGCCGTCTTACCACTTTTCTATCACTCTCTATTAGTGGAAAATAATTGAGTTTTCCTTCTCTGACAGGTTTCTCCAACACAGGTTCCGGCTTTCGCAGGTTTTACTGTATAAGTAACTGATAACACTAGCTGTCTCTGAGGAGGGGACCTGGGGGACAGGAGGTGACAAGGTGGCTTTTCACCATATACCCTTGTACCTTTTGAATTTAGAACCCCGTGAATGTATTCCGTATTCAAAAAAATAAATATTTAATATATATATTTTTAAAATAACTCTTTCTCTGGTCTCTTTCTCTTGGTTTTCCAGAACTGCATCGTCATTTCTTTAAAAAGTATTAATGTAAGCCAAAACCCAGTCCTTGGAGCCAAGCTTGGTTTCACCTAGATTCCAAAACAGCCTCCAAAGTGGAAGTTAAAAGGATAGTCCCTTTACATGGAAGGCTTAATTTATGCATGAGCTGCTTCTCACTGGGGCAACTCTATGTAGGATGTTTCCAAGCGCAGAGCAGCTAAGGCTATTCACTTAACAGCAGACAATGTATAACAATTAACAGCTCAGGGAAGACAAGTGTGTATGTTATACTACTGTGTGGGGTGAGGTGTGTGTGTGTGTGTGTGTGTGTGTGTGTGTGTTGTGCGCCCATTTTACAAAGCAGCAAACTGACCTGGGCTCAGCCCTCAACCCTCAAGAAGCCAGAATTGGTGGGGAGGGGCACAAACCTCATCTCCAAACTGGGGAATAGCTGAGTGGTGATGAGCATGGCCCTGGATCCAGACTATGTGGGGTTTGAAGCCCAGCTCTATCATTAAATAGCTGTGTGACCTCAGGCGAGTTACTTGACCTCTCTGTGCTTCAGTTTCCTCCTTTGTAAAATGGGCATGAGAATGGTGGACTCCCCATTAATACTCTGGTGAGATTTACACGAATGAAAATATGTAAAGCACTTAGGGTAGCCTGCCACATAGTAAGTGCTTGATAAATGTTAGCTAAAATTATCATCAATATTATGTGTGGAGAAAGGAAAACGGGGCAGGAAGGGAAGTTTCTTTCAGAGAGGGCTGGGCTTGGGTTTGTGGCTTGAATCAGGGATGGTTTACTGGGCATGAGAAAGGGAGAGCGCTCCAGCCTTCACATCTCGGCTCCACCCTGAGTTGGGGCCTCTTCCACGTAGGAGACAAAGGCACAGCCAGAAGGAGAAAGCAGTTCTTCTCCCTTTTACCCCAGACCTGAAATTGGAGCAAAACGACAGGAAGATTCCTCCTGGGGGAGCAGCATTCTCACTATTCCTCCAACACACCAAGCTGGCTGCAGCCTCAGGGCCTTTACACTGGCTGTTCCCTTTGCCTGGACCTCTCTCCCCCCAGATGACACAATTCCTCCATTCGGTTCTCTTTGGCTCCAACATGTTCTTAGAGAGACCTTTCCTGATCACTTAAATTAAAATTGTTGTTGTTAGTTGCTGTTGAGTCGACTCCAACTCATGGTGACCCCATGTGTGCAGAGTAGAACTGTGCTCCATAGAGTTTTCAGTGACTGTGACCTTTCGGAAGCAGATTGCCAGGTCTTTCTTCTGAGGCACCTTGGAAGGGTTCGAACCGCTAACCTTTCAGCTAGTAGGCAAGCGCTTAACTATTTGTACCACCCAATGACTTAATGAAATTAAAATAGCCCCCTCTATAACAGTCACAAGGAGCCCTGGTGGCACAGTGGTTAAGTGCTCAGCTGCTACCAGAAAGGTCGGCAGTTGGAACCCATCAACTGCTCCACAGGAGAAAGATGTGGCGGTCTGCTTCTGTAAAGATGACAGCCTTGGAAACCCTACGGGGCAGTTCTACTCTGTCCTACAGGGTCATTATGAGTCAGAATCCACTCAATGGCAGTGGGTTACAGAAGTCACTCTCCAAGCCCTCATGATATTCTCCTTTATAAAACTCGTGACTCCATCACATTATATGCAACACAGCACCCTCTCTTCTAATCCTTGATCTGAGTCGTGGGTATGGATGTTTTCACTTTGCCAGCCTTCATCAAGTTGTTCACTTATCATCTGTATATTTTCTGTATGTATACTTCAGTTGGAAACCCTGGTGGCATACTGGTTAAGTGCTACGGCTGCTAACCAAAAGGTCGGCAGTTCGAATCCACCAGGCGCTCTTTGGGAACTCTATGGGGCAGTTCTACTCTGTCCTATAGGGTTGCTATGAGTCAGAATCGACTCAACGGCAACAGGTTTAGTTTTTTTGGTTTATACTTCAATTTAAAAAAAAAAAGATTTTTAAAAAATAGCACCTTCCATCACTTCAGATCCTCTTCTTCCTAGCCCCCAACTCTTGTTGTTGTTGTTGCTGGGTGCCATTGAGTCGATTTGCACTCATGACAACCCCATGTGACAAAGCAGAACTGCCCCATAGGGTTTCCTAGGCTGTAATCTTTATGGATGTATGTGAAAGCCGGACAATGAATAAGGAAGACAGAAGAAGAATTGACACCTTTGAATTATGGTGTCGGCAAAGAACATTGATTATACCACGGACTGCCAGGAAGAACGAACAAACCTGTCTTGGAAGAAGTACAGCTAGATGCTCCTTAGAAGCAAGGATGGCGAGACTTCATCTCACCTACTTTGGACATGTTATCAGAAGGGACCAGTCTCTAGAGAGGAACATCATCCTTGGAAAAGTAGAGGGTCAGTGAAAAAGAGGAAGACCCTCAAGGAGATGGACTGACACAGTGGCTGCAACATGGGCTCAAACATAGCAACGGTTGTGAGTCTGGTGCAAGATCGAGCTGTGTTTTGTTCTGTTGTACACAGGGTTGCTATGAGTCGACGGCACCTAACAACAAAAATCTTTACAGGAGCAGATCACTAGGTCTTTCTCCTGGGGAGCTGCTGGGTAGGTTAGAACCGCCACCCTTTTGGTTAGCAGCCTAGTGCTTAACCATCGTGCCGCCAGGGCTCCTCGCACCCAACCCTACTGACATTATATCACATTTGGATATGTCAGTCAACCCTACTAACATTATATCACATTTGGATGTGTCAGTCAATCCTACTGACATTATATCACATTTGGATGTGTCACCCAACCCTACTGACATTACATCACATTTGGATGTGGCAGTCTATTGCTGGTTTCTCCCACTGGAACTGTGCAGTAGCCACTAGCCATATGTGCCTATTTACATTTTAATTAATTAAAAATAAATCGGCAAATTGGCAAATGTTTTGTTGCGCATATTTTCACCACAATAAAAAATTAAATAGACTTGAATTCATTAAAAACGAAACCAGAATTAACTAAATAAAAAATTCGGTTTTTCAGTGGCACACATGCCACATTTCAAGTGCTTAATAGCCACACGTAGCTGGTGGCTACCACATCGGACAGCTCAGAATCATAGATTTCCATTAGGGCAGAAAGCTCTACGGGGCAACGCTGTGCTAGAAGATGAACTCTCTGAGGGCAAGGTCCATGTATGTCTTGTTGATGCTGCATCCCCAGTGTCTGGCACCCAGTAGGCACTCAATAAGTACTTAATGGATGATTGGATGAAGAAATGAATGAAAGCAGCAGACGGATGAGTGGAAGGATGAATGAATGAATGAATGACCCGCAAGTCTTCCGAGTATGTCTCCCCCGCCCCTGTCCTGCCTCTCCCGAGACCCCACCTTGGCCTCGGGGTCCGTGCGGAAGAGCCCCTCAAGCACGTGGAGAGCGTCTAGGACGCCGTGGTCGCGGCCTTTGCAGTAGGAGAGCAGACGGCGCACGTCGGCCAGGGCCACGAACTGCTTGGAGATCTTGTTGGTGGTGCGCACCGGTAGGCAGGCGTTGGCTAGCAGGTGGCCCGGGCGGAAGTAGTAGGCGAACTCGAGCGGGCAGGCGGGGTGCGAGTGGGTCAGCTGGCACTCGGTCACCACGAGGCGGTCCCGCAGCGGGCTCAGCTTGACGATGATGAAGGCCGGACAGCCTGGCTGGGGGGGCCTGCAGGAGGAATGACCACCGCCGCCATCATATCACCTAGCTGTCTGCCCTCTTCTTCCTTTTCTCTCTCTCTTTTTGTTTAAATTAAGAATTTGTTTCCAGCATAGAGAAAGAGTAGATAGGCTCTCAGGAATATGCTGGCTGTGTGACCTTGGGCAAGTTACTTAAAGTCCCTGTTGCTCAGTTTCCTCATATGTTAACACTAAAAACCAAACCCGTTGCCCTGGAGTCCGTTCTGACTCATGGCAACCCCATGTGTTTACAAAGAAGAAGTGCTCCATAAGGTTTTCTTGGCTGTTATTTTTATGAAAACGTTCACCAGACCTTTCTTTCATGGTGCTACTGAGTGGGTTTGAACCGCTAACCTTTAAGTTAGCAGACGATCGCAAGCCATTTGTGCCACCTAGGGCACAAATCATATGGCACATCATATGTTAAAAGGGGGTAATAATAATAATACCTTTCCAATAGGATCATTTTTAGGATTAAAAGAGTTGACATATGTAAAGCATTTAAGTACAGTGTTGTAAATGCTGTGTTTGCTATAATTCCGTTTCCTCTACTCACAGCTTTATCAAAATTGAATGGACTTTTTATTATATTTACCTCAAAAATTTTTAGGAAATAAAATATTTCAGATACTTCTGCATCCACCTCTGGTTTAGCAACAACAACAGAACAAGTTGAGGTCCTCTTGTGAACCCTGCCCCAACAAACTCCCCTCCTTTCTTCCCCAGAGGTAGCCACAAAACTGGGTATTTATCATCCTCACATATGTTTTTATGCAGCCATAAAAAATGTAGGGTATGCTTCTATGTTTGAAAACTTTGTATACATGAAAAGGTGCTCAAACTCATTAGTCATCACAGAAATACAAATCAGAACCCTAAGGAAATACCACCACACACCCACCAGAATGGACTGATAATATCAAGTGTTGATGAAACTGGAGCAACTGGAACTCTCACACATTGTTGATGGGAGTATAAAATGGTACAATCACTTTGGAAAACTGTGTGGCAGTTTTAGTAGATACTAAGGCTGATCATATGCCTCTGCTGTGATCCAGCAATTCCACTCAAGATAAATGCATACATATGGACACCTAAAGACATATACTAGAATGTTCATAGCAGCACTATTCATATTAGCCAAATACTTGAAACAACTCAAATATCCAACAATAGAGTAGGAAAAGAAATTGTGACATATTCCTAAAACACCAATCAACAGTGAGAATGAGCAAACCATTACTATCCCTAACAAGGTGGACAAATCTCACAAACATGGTGTGAAAGAAGCCAGACATAAACGAGAACACACTGTGTGATTCCCCTTTATGTGAAGTTCAAACAAAAACAGACAAAACTAACCTATGCTGTTAAAAGACTGCAGAGTTGCTACCCTTGAGTAGTTAACCCTAGGAGAGGGCACAAGGGGGGCTTCTTGGGGCTGGGGGTGCTCCGTTTCTTGTTCTAGGTGCTGGTTACATACGTATTTTATTTTGTGAAAATTTATCAAGTTGCACGTGTACACGTGTGGACTTTTCTGTACATATATCACACTAAAAAAGTTTACTTAGAAAATCTTTGTGTAAATAGCATTGTGGTAGGCAGAACAATGGCCCCCCCAAAGATACCCAAAAGGAGCCCTGGTGGTGCAGTGGTTCAGAGCTTAGCTGCTAACCAAATGGTCAGTGGTTCAAACCCACCAGCTGCGCCACAGGAGAAAGATGTGGCAGTCTGCTTCTGAAAGATTACAGCCTTGAAAACCCTATCAGGCAGTTCTACTCTGTCACATAGTGTTGTTATGAGTTGAAATTGACTCGATGGCAACGGGTTTGGTTTGGGTGTTTTGAAAGATATTCAAAGAAGCCCTGGTGGCACAATGGTTAAAGTCCTCAGCTACTAAATGAAAAGTTGGTGGTTTGAACCTACCAGCTGCTCTGCGGGACAAAAACCTGGGGATCTGCTCCTGTAAAAATTACAGCCTAGGGAACTCTATTAAATTAAGGATTTTGAGATGAGAAGAATAGCCTGGATTATCTAGGTGGGCCCAATGTCATCACAAGGGTCCTTATAAGTGGAAGAGGGAGGCAGGAGGGTCAGAATTAGAAAGACTGGAAGATACTATGCTGCTGGCTTTGAAGTCGGAGGAAGGGGCCACAACCCAAGGAATGCGAGCAGCCTCTAGAAGCATGACAAGGCAACCAACAGATTCTCCCCTAGAGCCTTCTTCTGAACACAGCCCTGCTGAAACCTGGATCTTAGCCTAGCAAGACCCATTTCAAACTTCTGACCTCCAGAACTGTAAGATAATAAAAGTGTGTTTTAAGCCACTACATTTGTGGTAATTTGTTACAGTAGCTATAGAAAACTAACATAAGCATCATACTGTATCATTGTCAAAAGAACATTTCAAGATCTATCTTGAAGGACAATGCTGCCAGTGATAGGCTAATATCCATACACCTACAAGGAAGATCAATTAATATGACTATTATTCAAATTTATGCACCAACCACTAAGGCCAAAGATGAAGAAATTGAAGATTTTTTACCAACTTCTGCAGTGTGAAATTGATCAAACATGAAATCAGGATGCATTGATAATTACTGGTGATGGGAATGCGAAAGTCGGAAACAAAGAAGGATCAGTAGTTGGAAAATATGGCCTTCATGATAGAAACGATGCCAGAGATCGCATGATAGAATTTTGCAAGACCAGTGATTTCTTCATTGCAAATACCTTTTTTCAACAACATAAACGGCGACTATACACATGGACCTCACCAGATAGGATACACAGGAATCAATTCGACTACATCTGTGGGAAGAGACGATGGAAAAGCTCAATAGCATCAGTCAGAACAAGGCCAGGGACTGACTGAGAAACAGACCATCAATTGCTCATATGCAAGTTCAAGTTGAAGCTGAAGAAAATTAGAACAAGCCATGGTGTTTTCAATTGCCTCATATGCATATGAAGGCTGGACGATAAATAAGGAAGAATGAAGAAGAGTTGATGCTTTTGAATTGCGGTGTTGGAGAAGAATATTGAATGGACTGCCAAAAGAACAAACAAATCTGTCTTCGAAGAAGTACAGCCAGAGTGCTCCTTAGAAGCAAGGATGGCAAGACTATGTCTCACGTACTTTAGACATGTTATCAGGAGGGACCAGTCCCTGGAAAAGGACATCATGCTTGGTAAAGTAGAGGGTCAGTGAAGAAGAGGAAGATCCTCAACGAGATGGACTGACACAGTAGCTGCAACAATGGGCTTAAGCATAACAGCAATTATGAGGATAGCACAGGACCAAGCAGTGTCTCATTCTGTTGTACACAGGGTTGCTATGAGTTGGAACCAACTCAATGGCACCTAACAACAACATATATATATGTATAGGGTTTCTAGGAGTCAGAGTTGACTCAATTACAATGGGTTTGAACTTTATGGAAGCAGATCACTAGGCCTTTCTTCCACAGGGCTGCTGAGTGAGTTCAAACCATCAACCTTTCGGTTAGCAGTCCAGTGCAAACTGTTTGCACCACCCAGAGACCTGCACAGTTCATTACATGAAATCAATTTAAGAAGTTAAAATCAGTATTGTAAAAAATAGAAAAGGGGAGAAAAATCAGATGTACTTCCTTGATGTTGTTGCCATTGTTAGGCGCCATCAAGTCGGTTCCGACACTTAGAGACCCTACGCACAACAGAACTTCCTTGATAATAATATACAAATTGACAAAGGGGTTTAGTATTTTTCCGTTGCGGGGTAACATCGGAATTTGGGGACAGGGGGCAAATTTTATGCTTATAGAACAGGGGTTGGCATAATTTTTCTGTGAAAGGCCAGATAGTAAATATATTCTATTACTATATTGTGAATGCAATGCAGTAAATGAATGGGTGTGGCTGTATGCCAATAAAACTTTATTTACAAAAACAGGCCACGGGTTGACAAGTCTTGTAGTTTGCCAACTCCTGTAATATAAACTGTCCAAGGAACCCTGGTGGTGAAACAGTTAAGCATTCGGCTGCTAACTGAAAAGTTGGTGGTTTGAACCCAGACAGCTGCTCCATGGGAGAAAAGACCTGGCAATCTGCTCCCATAAATATTCCAAAAACCAAAAAAAAAAAAAAAAAATCTATTGCCTTTGAGTCGATTCCAACTCATAGTGACCCTATAGGATAGGAAACCCTATGGGGCAGTTCTACTATGTCTCATGGGGTCACTATGAGTTGAAATAGACTTGATGGCATCCAACAACAAAAATCTCTGGGAATAATGCCACTTACCCCTAAATGAAAACTTCATGAGAGCAGGGATTTTTGTCTGTTTTGTTCCTTGTGGTATCCCCAGCATCCACAACAGCACCTGGCACCTAGTAGGTGCCCAATAAAAATTTGGTGAGGGAATGACTGAATTGTACCATGTAACCCAGACTCCCAGGCACACCGTCTCAGGGATACACCTCTCCGCTCCAATTCCATCAAAACCATCTGCCACCAAGTCCTGTCTATTTTGCCTTCTAAACAAACAAAAAACCCTTATTGCCGTTGAATGGATTCTGACACGTGGTGACCCCATGTGGTACAGAGCAGAACTGCCCCATAGGGTTTTCTTGCCTACGATCTTTACAAGATCAGATCACCAGGCCTGTCTCCCGAGGCGCCACTGGGTAGGTTTGAACCACCAACCTTTAGGTTAGTGGTGGTGGTGTTGTCAATTCTGACTCATAGGACAGAGTAGAGCTGCCCCACAGGGTTTCCAAGGCTGTAATCTTTATAGAAAGCAGACTGCCACATCTTTCTCCCATGGAGCGGCTGGTGGGTTGGAACCATCAAGCATCTGGTTGGCAGCCGAGTGCTTTAATCACTGTGCCACCAGGGATCCTTTTTAGGTTAGTAGTTAAGTGCAAACCATTTGTGCTACCCAGAGACCTTTTTGCCTTCTAAGCCTCTCTAAACCACCCAGTTTTTGCCATTTCCACTGCCACCAACCTACTACAAGTTCTTTCCTTCTTCATGAAATATTCTTCTCTTTGTTTCACAGTTAACTCCTACTCATCCTTCAGGCCTCAGCACCAGTGTCACCTCCTCCAGGAAGCCTTCCCTGACCATCCCCTGGCTAGGGCTCATTCTGTCATACATTGGAGTTATGTCTTGACTGATGCTCATCTGGCCCCCTAGAATGGAAGCTCCCCACTGAAACCCCAGCATCTGAAACCCAACACCCTGCACGTAGTAAACTATTGCTGTTGAGACGATTCTGACTCATAGTGACTCTATAGGCCAGAGGAGAACTGCTCCACAGGGGTTCCTAGGCTGTAAATCTTTAAGGAAGCAGTCTGCCACATCTTTTCTGTTACAGAATGTGTGGTGGGTTTGAACCGCTGACCTTTCGGTTAGCAGCTGAGATCTTAATCACTGTGCCACCAGGGCTCCTCTGCACATAGTAGGTAATCAAAAACAATCTCTTGGATAAATGGGCAAACAGGCTGGTATCTAGGACAGAAAACTCTTCAGGATGCCTGCACATTCAACTCTCATATTGATAATCATGATTTAAATAAAAAATGTGGGGTGGAGGGAAGGAAAGAAAGAAGGGGAGGCAGAAAGAGAGGGAAGACACAGGGTGGTGGTTAAAAGCATGTGCTGTGTGGATCCAAATCCTGCTTTCTCCTCTTAGCAGCTGTGTTATCTCGGGAGAGTTCTTTAACCTCTCTGTGCCTCAGCTTAAAGTTTCACACTACATCAAGTGAAAGCTTCAGGAGCCTGCCACAGGAGATTGGATTATTTGCAGGATTGTGTAGAGTGACACTCATTCAAAGCTGCCTGGTCAGCGGCCACCTGTGAGCAGGTCACCGCTGCCTGTTTCCTACCTGGGTCAAAATGTGATGGGGGAGAGATTTGGTTGCTATGCAACGCTCATGTTGCCCTTGTTTCTGTCAGCCATGACTGAACTGTTTCGAACCGGTTCGAAGTCCTGCTGCTAATCTCGAGCCTTGACGCCCTTCCTGTGACATACACACCTTTCCTTGCACATGACCTTCTCCAGTCTGGGATCTCAGCCCATGGGTTGTCCCTGGGCTGTGATGCTGCGGAGGTCTCCCTTGAGCAGCAGAGGGGAAAGGAAGCTCAGAAATGATGGGCCCCAGCATTATCGTGCCCACATTGGCACATCAACCACCTCCATCCCTCAGTCCCCATCCAGGGACAACCTTGCTGTCCACCCACTCAACAGGCCCAAACTCACTCTCTCCATCACCTGCTGTTATGGACTGAATTCTGTCCCCAAAAAATATGTGTTGTAAATCCTAACCCCTATACTTGTGGTCTTTCACCACACTAATTCAATCTGTATGCTGAGCAAATAATCTGAGAAGCTAGACTATATGAAGAAGAAAGGGGCATCAGGATTGGAGGAAGACTCATTAACAACCTGTCTTATGCAGATGACATGACCTTGCTTGCTAAAAGTGAAGAGGACTTGAAGCACTTACTGACGAAGACCAAAGACCACAGCCTTCAGTATGGATTGCAGCTCAACCAAAAGAAAAATAAAATCCTCACAGCTGGACCAATAAGCAACATCATGACTGATGGAGAAAATACTGAATTTGTCAAGGATTTCATTTCACTTGGATCCACAGTCAACGCCCATGGAAGCAGCAGTCAAGAAATCAAATGGCGTATTGCGTTGGGCAAATCTGCCGCAAAAGCCTTCTTTAAAGAGTTCAAAAGAAAGATGTCACTTTGAGGACCTGACCCAAGCCATGGTATTTTCAATTACCTCATATGCATGCGAAAGCTGGACAATGAATAAGGAAGACCGAAGAAGAATTGATGTCTTTGAATTATGGTGTTGGCGAAGAATATTGAATATACCATGGACTGCCAGAAGAACAAACAAAATCCTGGAAGAAGTACAGCTAGAATGCTCCTTGGAAGCAAGGATGGTGAGACTTAGTCTCATATACTTTGGACATGTTATTAGGAGGTACCAATCCCTGGAGAAGGACATCACATTTGGTAAAGTGGAGAGACAGAGAAAAAGAGGAAGACTCTCAACGAGATGGATTGACACAGTGGCCGCAACAATGGGAGAAAGCATAACAATTGTGAGGATGGCACAGGACAGGGCAGTGTTTCATTCTGCTGTATGTGGGGTCGCTATGAGTCAGAACTGACTTGACAGCACCTAGCCACAACAACATACCCGTGGTAAGGAGCCCTGGTGGTGCAATAGTTAATTGCTCGGCTACAAACCAAAAGGTTGGCTGTTCGAACCCACCAGCTGCTCTGCTGGAGAAAAGACCTGTCAATTTGCTCCGGTAAAGATTGAGAAAACGAACAAACCAAACCAGTTGCTGTCAAGTCAACTATGACGCATAGAGACCCTATAGAACAGGGTAGAATCGTCCCACAGGGTTTCCAAGGACTGCCACAGCTTTCTCCTGCAGAGTGGCTGGTGGGTTTGAAGCGCTGACCTTCTGCTTAGCAGCTGAGCACTTAACCACTGCACTACCAGTGTTCCTTACAGCCTAGAAAACACTATGGAGCGGTTCTACTCTGCCCTATAGGGTCTTTATCAGTCAGAATTGACTCCATGGCACACAACAACATACCTATGGTTATAATATGGTTTTCTTTGTCATGTTAATGAGGCCATATCAGTGTTGTTGTTAGGTGCCCTCCAGTCGGTTCCAACTCATAGCTACCCTACGTACAACAGAACGAAACACTGCCCAGTCCTGCGCCATCCTCACAATACGCTTGAGCCTACTGTTGCAGCCACTATGTCAGTCCATATCCTTGAGGGTCTTCCTCTTTTTCGCTGACCCTTTACTTTCCCAAGCATGATGCCTTCTCCAGGCAGTGGTCCCTCCTGATAACATGTCCAAAGAGCAACATTATTATATTTCCCCCGTTTTCCAAATGAACAAACTGAGGCCCAGAGAGGCGAAGTCACTTGCTCAACATCACCAGCTCATAAGCAGTGGAGCTGCGGCTTGCACCTGGGCCGCTGGCTCCATAGTCTGTGCTCCTGAGTTCTGTAACAGCTACCACCCACCAAGTCACCTCATGTTCCAGGCACGTGCGTAAGTGCCTTCCTGTGCATGATCTCTCTGTGACCCCACAACAGCCTCCCACCAGGCAGGCACTGCAATCACCCCATTTCAGAGAGGAAAAAACTGAGGCTTGAAGATGTGAAGTCCGTTGCCCAAAGACACCAACCCGGGAAGCAGTGAAGCCCATCTCAGGCAGCCTGAAGGCAGAGCCCATGTTCTTAAACACTCCACTCTCATTTATGGCTCCCCAATCGAGGGTCTCAAACTCATGCATCTACAGGGGCCAGGCAGGCAAAACAAGGATGTGACGCTGACAAGTACGAGGCAACAGAGAATGGTGGGGTCTGGGGCTAACTTGACCGCCAATGCTCTGCCTAAAGGGGTCAGCTACCTGCTACATGCTAATGAGGGCTCTACCCCTTCCTAACTTTCAAGAGAAGCCAGAAATGTTCCCGGGGAAAGTTCCTGTTTTAAAATTAAAATCCTGTTGCCGGCAAGTTGATTCTGACTAGTGGCAACCTCATGTGTTACAAAGTAGAACTGCTCCATACAGTTTTCTTGGCTGTAATCTTTATGGAAACAGATCACCAGGCCTTTCTTCTGAGGAGTGGTTGGGTGGTTTGAACCACCAACCTTTAGATCAGCAGCCGATCACAAGCCTCCTGCGTCACCTAGGGGTCCCTGGGTGGTGCAAATGGTTAAAGCACTTGGCTGCTAACCAAAAGGTTGGCAGTTCAAGCCCATCTAGAGGCACCTTGGAAGAAAGGCCTGGCAATCTACTTCCAAAAATATCAGCCATTGAGAACACTGTAGAGCACAGTTCTACTCTGACATACATGAGTCAGAGTCTACTCAATGGCAACTGGTTAACGGGTTTTAAAACCAGCATCAATTAAAATATCTCTGGCCACCCACCTGGCCGCGTTTCCCAGCTGTCTTTGATTTCTCACCTGCTCTTTGTTTTTTGGAGCATTATGCAGTTGTAGGGAACTATTTGTGAGCTTGTTCCTTTAATGTCAGTCTTCCTGTCCAGTCTGAAAGTTCCAGAAAGGCAGGGACATTGTATCTTCTTTCCCCCACTCTATTCCACCCTCCCCCCATACACTCAGCACCCAGCATAGGGCTGGCCCTGCATTTACTGGATGGGTGGATCTTTTTCTATCTCTGTCCCTGTACCTTTTCTCGGCAGCTGAGTATCCCCACTCTTCTGTTCTCTTTCTATATGTGCAAAACCTGGCTCTCCTCCAGCTTTTCTGGCTTGTTCTCGTGTCTCTGGCTCCTGTCTCCATGTTTCTGGAATTTTGTGTCTTTTTTCCTGTCTGTGGGGTGTACTTGTCCACCTTACTCTTTCTCCACCTCTCTATGGGTCTCTATCAAAGCCTGTGAGTAGATCCACTATGTCTCTCACTTGGGTGTTGGCTTTTGCCCTCAATTTCCTGTGTCTCAGGATTCCTAGCAACGCAGTGGTGCAGTGGTTAAGCGCGGCTGCTAACCAAAAGGTCAGGTTTGAATTTATGAGCCACTCCTCAGTAGAAAGATGTGGCAGTCTGCTTCCATGCATATTATAGCCTTGGAAACCCCATGGGGCAGCTCTACTCTATCCTATACGGTCCTAATGAGTTGGAATTGACTCCATAGCAAAGGGTTTGATTTTTTTTTTTTTTTTTTTTGTCTTGTGTCTTAGTCTCCCTGGAATTAAAGTTTCCTCGTCTCTCTGCACCTCTCTGCAAGTGTCTTGGTCTGCTGCTCTCCCTCCCATGGCTGGGTGGGGACTCTCAGCCCACCTCTGGACCCGTTTCCCTCCCCCAGCGGGGCGGTGGCTCGGGCTCACGCACCCCACGGCGGGCCGGCTGGGCGCGCGCACGTCCTTGCACACGAGCCGCACATAGCTGTACTTGAGCACATCGATGAGCGTGTAGAGCGGAGGCGCGCTGGCCCAGCGGCAGCGCGCCAGGTGCATGGAGCTCTTGACGAAGAAGAGCGCCAGCCGCTGCTGACACCATGCGTCGAAGAAGCGGCTGAATTCGGCCCACGAGAAGAAGGCCCGCTCGCGCAGTTCCTGCTCCTCCTGCCCCACCGCTGTGCCTGGTGGGGGATCCAGCCGCTCCATTCTGGGGCACCTGAGTTGGGGAGGAGGGACACCTAGATATCAGATCCACCCCACCTTAGGGTATCCCACTTTCTCCAGTCTCGGCCTACCTCTTCCGTGCTAGTGCCTCTACCCAGGTGGGGTTAGGGGCTGGATGCGCCTGTTTCTGTCCCCTTCTTTGGCCATACGTGACCCCGCCCCCCATCCCCTGGGACGATTGGGGGCTGTCATCCTGATCCCAATCCCAACTGTGGTCCCCTCCTCCCTAGATGTGACCCCCAGGTCCAGCTGGAGGACCCTCTCCCAAAATATCCTTAAGCTTAGCCGTGGACAGCTGTTCAGACGTGTACCAAACTTCCAGTTGAGGCCTCCTCCTCCCTAGATGTGCGTCCTACGCGCTTCCTATACGTGGTAGTAATCCCCACGTGTCCTCTTCCAGCTGGGGTCCCCCTCGATGTGTCTCCACTAGGCCGTAACCCCACTAGCTCCACATCCAGCTGTGCCCCTTCTCAAAGTGCCCCATCTCCAGATGTGCTCCCCACACTGTCAGGGACCCCTGATCCCCTTGATGTTCGTCGTGCACTTGTGGCTCTCTACTCCGCAGGTTTGTCTGCAGTATGTAGCTGGCGCCCCTCTCCCAAACGTGACCCCTCTATGCCCCTGCATCCAGCTGTGGACCCTGCTTCCCAGAGATGTTCACATCTCCAGATGTGCCAGTTACGGACCCTTCACCTACAGGTGTGTGCCCCATCCACTGTGGCCAATTCTCCCCACAGTATTCATCTGTGGCTTCCTCCCCACCCCACCCCCCACTCCAGCTGGGACTTCATCTTCCTCCCTACGGCCGCCATCCTCCCCAGATGTGTGTTCTCGTCTGGAAATATCCCCCCATCCAAACGGGCTTATTCACCCCAGATGCTTCCCCACGTCCAGCCGCTCCTCCTCCCTACTTCGTTCAGCCTCTTCCAGTCCGCTCCCGCCTCCCCAGCCCCTCCCAGCCCCTCCCGCAGAGGCCCCTCCCATCCCAGCCGTCCCACCCAGCTGTGCCTCTCCCCTCCCCCAGATGTGCACCCTTTCCGCCCCTCCCCACTCACCTACCCGCCCCAGAGCGGCGTTCGCCTCCCACAATGCCCCGCGCAGAGGCCCGGCCGGGCCCTCGTTCCCGGGATGCCCCGCGCGGTCTCCCGCCTCTCTTCCCGCCGTGCCCCGCGCAGCGTCTTCCCCTCGAATCGCTTTCTCCCCAGCCCGTCACTCCTCGGACGCGCAGCCACAGCCGCAGGCCGCTTCCCAGGGTGCTCTGCGGGAGGGTTCGCCCCCACTTCCCCCCTTTTCTAGGTCGCCTCCCATTTGGGGAACTACAACTCCCAGCGTCCTCCGCGAGAGCGGCGGCCTCAGGCGGAGCGGACGTCTCTCGGGCCCCGCCCCTCGATTCGGCTCTGCGCGCGAATTCCGTGGCGCGAATTTGGGTCTGCAGTCGCGCGCGGAGCGGATCCGAAGAGAGGCGCGCGGGGCCAGTACAAAGGCAAGTGGGGCCTCCCAAGCGGGGCTGGGGGGCTGGGGTGTCGCGCGTGCCGAACGCTCGAGGCCTATGGCGCCGCTGGGCCGGAGTTGCTGCAGACGAGCGAGCGTGGGGGAAACTGAGGCGGCAGAGGGGTCAGCGCGGGCAATGGAAAGGGGACTGTGGAGCTTTGGAGGAGCGGGGCGGCGTCCGTAGGAGAGAGAGGGACCAGGCAGAACGTAGACGAGTGCCGGAGACTATTGGACTGGAAAGGGCCTGAGGCCGGGCCGGCTGAAGGGGCGGTGTCACCCAGAAGGGGCGGGGGCAACAGTCTTGGTTGGGGGCGGGACCACCCGGAAATAGGAAGGGTGGGGGCGGGGCCACAGCCTTTGTTGAGGGACCTTGGAAGGGGTGGTGGGTGGGCGGGGCCATCTACAAATATGCTAGGTGGGGGCGGGGCCAGGGAAATGGTTGTTGTTGGGGGGCAGCCGTAAATAGGAAGGGTAGGGAGAGGTGGAGCCAGCTGGAAGGGGTGGGCCACGCTGGACAGAGATGGAGTCAGGGGGAGGATACTGGTAGAAGGGGTGGAGAACCTGGGTAGAGAGAGGTCTGCTCTGGTTGCCTGACAAGGGGGCGGAGCCAGGGAAAGGACGAGGGAGAGTGGGGCTAGTCAGCAAGAATGGGGCCAAGGCCTGGGAAAGAGTGGGGCCCGATAGATGGGGATGGGGCCACTGAGAGTTTTGAGGAATCAGGGCTGATGGACAGATGGAAGTGGGGCTAATGGTCAGAGTAGTAGAAGGGACAGGACTCAAAGTAGGGTGGGAGGGGGAAGAGGAGCTTGAGGAGGGATAAGAGAAGGATTTTAACATCCTTAGGAGAGGGGGGAGCTTGAAGGGTCAGGGGGAGGACACTTAGCCAGAAGAACAGAGGGGCATTTGGAGAATAGACCTGGCATTTGAAACCCATGGGAATTGGTGGTAGAGACAGCAGGAAAAGGGATTAGGGACATCACTCCTCATCCCTGTTTCAGCCCATTGAGTCTCTGACTTTCACTTCATCAACCTAAGAAAGAAATACAAGGGCAGTGGTGGTTCAGTGGTAGAATTCTCACCTTCCGTGCGGTAAACCAGGGTTCGATTCCCGGCCAGTACACCTCACGTGCAGCCACCACCCATCTCTCAGTGGAGGCTTGCATGTGGCCGTGATGCTGACCAGGTTTCAGTGGCCCTTCCAGACTAAGACATACTAGGAAGAAGGGCCTGGCGATCTACTTCTGAAAATCAGACAATGAAAACCCTATAGAGCACAGTTCTACTCTGTCACACATGGGGTCACCATGAGTCAGAATCTACTCTACAACCATAGGTTTGCTTTTGGTTTAGTATAAATAAACCATAGTGTATCCTATTGTTGTTGTTAGGTGCCATCAATTCAGTTCTGACTCTTAGCGACCTTATGTACAACAGAACGAAACATTGCCTGGTCCTGTGCCATCCTCACAGTCATTGTTACGCTTGAGCCTGTTGTTGCAGCTACTATGTCAGTCCATCTCGTTGAAGGTCTTCCTCTTTTTCGCTGACCCTCTACTTACCAAGCATGATGTCTTTCTCCAGGGACTGATCCCTCCTGATAACACGTCCAAAGTACGTAAGACATAGTCTCTCCATCCTTGTTTCTAAGGAGCATTCTGGTTGTACTTCTTCCAAGACAGATTTGTTTGTTCTTCTGACAGTCCATGGTATATTCAGTATTCTTCACCAACACCACAATTCAAAGGCGGCTACGCTTTGGTCTTCCTTGTTCTTTGTCCAGCTTTCGCATGCATATGAGGCAGTTGAAAACTCCGTGGCTTGGGTCAGGTGGACCTCAGTCTTTAAGGTGACATCTTTGCTTTTCAACACTTTAAATAGGTCTTTTGCAGCAGATTTGCCCAATGCAATGCATCTTTTGATTTCTTGACTGCTGCTGATGCCGTGGAGTCAATTCTGACTCATAGTGACTCTATAGGACAGAGTAGAACTGTCCCATAGGGTTTCCTAGGCTATAATCTTTATGAAAGCAGATTGCTAGGTCTAACTCCAGCAGAGCCCCTGGGTGAGTTTCAACCACCAGCCTTTCAATTAGCAGCTGATTGCTTAACCATTGCGCCTCCAGGTCATACAGTAGGGGACTGGATTTCTTTTACTGTTTGTCCCCAGAGCTCCAGCACACCAAAAGTCTTGCAAAATGTGTATTCGGTGGATTTTGTGCAAAGCTGTTCTTCAGCGTGTACAGAGATGAATCAGCCACAGCCCTCCATGGGCTCCCAGACTGGCTGCGAAGAAAAGATACAGACTTTACAAATAACTCATGTACGAGATCGATTAGAACCTTCCAAAGTGAGGGACCTAATGGGGCTGGGCCACTCAACTATATTACTTACTGGTTTTCCTGAATTCTGAGCTTTGGGCTGTATACTTTAATTTCTGTTCCTAATTTTAGGTTAATCTTTCTTTTTTGTCTCTGTATTATAAAAGGTTTCAAATATACAGAAAAGTAGAGCAACTAGGACAATGATAATATACCCAGCACCTTGATTTTACAGTTAACCTTTTGCTATGTTTGTATCTATTGTTTTCAGGAAAAAAAATTATTTTTTGTTATGTTTTATTATATATGGTTCAAACACATATAAAAGTAGAGACAATAGTATAATGAACCCCTGTGGCCTCATCACCCAACTCTGTAATTATCAAAATATGTCCATTCTTATTTCATCTATAAACCCAAAAAAGAAAAAACTAGTTGCCAGTGGAGTCGACTCTGATTCATAGCGCCCCTATGTGTCAGAGTACAACTGTGCCCCATAATATTTTCAGTGGCTGATATTTTGGAAGTAGATCGCCAGGCCTTTCTTCTGAGGAGCTTCTGGGTGGACTCAAACCTCTAAATTTTGGTTAGCAGCCAAGCGTGTTAACCGTTTGCACCACCAAGGACTCCGTTTCATCTATACTCTCCCTCTACTCGCCAAAAGAAAAAAATCGGATTTATTTTAAAGAAAATTTGGCTATTTGCTGAAATATTTTAAGTAATTTACAGACATCATGACGTTAATTTCAGCGCACATCTCTAAGCAATAAAAGTGTTTTTCTATATAGCAGCAATACCCTTTTCACACCTAACAAAATTAACAATAATTACTTGTAATTTGAAGTGATACATGGATATAAAGAGGAGCCCTGGTGGCGCAGTTGTTAAGCACGCAGCCGCTAACTGAAGTGTTGGTGGTTCGAACCCACCAGCTACTCCATGGGAGAAAGATGTGGCAATCAGCTTCCATAAAGATTACAGCCTTGGAAACTCTATGAGGCACTTCTACTCTGTCCTGTAGGGTCGCTATGAGTCGGAATCGACTCAACAGCACCGGGTTTGTTCTGTTTTGTTTTTTTTTTGATAAGGTTATGACATTAGATAACACTGACTCTCATAAGTTAGTCCCGTACGTGCCCTTTCCGTTTGTTTTGTTTATTTAAAGAAAAGGCCCCAGTTTGGTGCTAGTGTGTCTTTCCCGCTCTTTCACCAAAAACCAAAAACAAAAAAATCCCATTGCTGTTGAGTCAATTCCAACTCATGACCACCCTGTGTGTTACAAAGTAGAGCAGCCCCATAGGGTTTTCTTGGCTATAATCCTTATGGAAGCAGGTTGCCAGGCCTTTCTTCCATGGCACTGCTGGGTGGGTTTGAACCGCCATCCTTTAGGTGAGTAGTCAAGTGCAAACCATTTGCCGGACCCAGGGAGCTTTCTAGCTTTCTTAGTCTTTGGTAATTACAGCAGGGAGCAGCAGGCCTGGACTTAAAGCCTGCAGTAGCTAATGATATGTAATTCAATATCTTGTTTTGGTCTTTGTGTTTATTTTTACGGCTGTCTTCTCTTTATGACAAGCGATGCTGTTTTCCCATCTGGGGGAGTGATAGAACTTTCCTTAGGTCAGTTTAGTCAGTCGTGAGATGGTTAAGTACATGGAGCCCGGAGCACTGGGTTTGAATTGGCTTCTGCTGTTTATTAGCTCTGTGACTCTGGGCAGGTGATTTTATTTTTACTTTGTTGTTGTTGTTGTAGAGAATATACACAGGAAAAACATACACCAATTCAACTCTTTGTAAATGTACAATTCAGTGACACTGATGACATTCTTTGAGTTGTGCAACCGTTCTCACCCTCCTTTTCTGAGTTATTCCTCTCCCATTAACATAAACTCACTGCCCCCTAAGGTTCCTATCTTATCTTTTGAGTTGCTATTGTCACTTTGATCCCATATAGATAGTTCTATGAAAGAGCACAATGCTCATGGCAGACATTTTTTACTAGTGAAGCTAAACAATTGCTTGGTTTTAAGAAGACTGCAGGGGATACTTTTGATTTAAGTTTTAAAGGTTATCTCAGGGCAATATTTCAGGGGTTCATCCAGGCTCCATGGCTCTAGAAAGTCTGGATTCCATGAGAATATGAAGTTCTGTTCTGCATTTTTCTCTTCTCTGGGCAAGTGATTTAATGTCTCTGTACCTCAGTTTCCTCGTCAGAAGTAGGGATATAACTTGAAACTGCTTCATCTAGTTGTTGGGAAGCACAGGGTAACATCATTATTATGATTGTCGTTATCTCAACAGCCCCAAGATGTAGGAATATCCCTCAATCCCAAGACAGAGGGTTCCTCCTTTCTTCAACCCCAGGACAGTTGTAGTGAAGGGCATGGACTCTGGAGTAGCCATCTAGCTTCAGATCTTGGCTCTGAAACTCATTGGGCTGTGTGACCTTGAGCAAATTACTCGACCTCTCTGTGCTTCTGTTGCCTCATTCGTAAAATAGGGACAGTAATTCATTTTAATAGGATTTAAATGAATTTATATAAAGCACTTGGAATAGTAAGGAGCCCTGGTGGCATAGTGGTTAAGCCCTCAGCTGCTAACCAAAAGGTTGGCGGTTCAAACCTGCCAGCCGCTATGCAGGAGAAAGATGTGGCATTCTGCTTCTGTAAAGATTTACAGCCTGGGAAACCCTACGGGGCAGTTCCATTCTGTCGTATAGGGTGGCTATGAGTCAATCTACTCGACGGCAACAGGTTTTTTTTACTTGGAATAGTGACTAGCACTTAGAAAGCACCCTAGTTAATAAAAATATTATGTTAAAAAAACTCGTGTGTGTTGGAAATTGCAGAGGTTGTGTAAACATGTCTGAGTTTTGGGAAATCATGTTTGGAGAAGATGGGGATGGAGCAAGGCACAGCTCCATTTCTCCAGAGCTCCAGATCTAATGGAGAAGATAAACTCTGAACATCATCCTCAGAACACAGGGTAGACAGAGCATGTACAGTGAGAGAAGCAGATGAGACAAGTTACAGTTAACCACCCCAGAGATAACAGCATTTCCAGTTTATCGTGTCTCCCAGCAGAGCTGTTCTCTGCACATACAGGTAGGTACATTTGTATCCTTTTCTTTTTACACAAAATACTAGTGTGCTTTGCACGACATTCTGCGCTTTGTTTCAACAAAAAATATGCCACAGAATTTGCTCAACAGCTAATTGAGGTAGACCAGTGGGTACAAGTTCATGAACATCCTGTTTCAAGTCTTAGGACATTATGTCCATTGCCGTTGAGTCAATTCTGACTCACTGTGACCCTATGGGATAGAGCAGAACTGCCCCACAGGGTTTCCAAGGCTGTAATCTTAATGGGGAGCCCTGGTTGCATAGTGGTTAAGCGTTTGGCTGCTAACCAAAGGTCAGCAGTTCGAATTCACCAGCTGCTCTTTAGAAACCCTATGTGGCAGTTCTGCTCTGTCCTGTAGGGCTGCTGTGAGTCAGAATCGAATTGACAGCAATAGTTTTTTTTTAATCTTTATGGAAGCAGACTGCCACATCTTTCTCCCACGGAGCAGCTGGTAGATTCAAACCGCCGACCTTCTGGTTAGCAGCTGAGCTCTTAACCACTGTGCCACCAGGGCTCCAGGACATTATGTGATCACCTAAAAACTATATTTCACTAACTTTAAAACTTAGTACTACAGCTGCTAACCAAAAAAATTGGCAGTTTAAATCCACCAGATGCTCCTTGGAAACTCTACAGGGCAGTTTTACTCTGTCCTATAGGGTCATTATGACTCGGAATTGACATGATGGCAACAGGTTTGGTTGTTTTTTGTTTTTTTTTTTAAACTTAACTCCAAACTTAAAGATCCCCAGGTTGTTTTTCATATTAAGATGAAAAGCAGGCTGTATACGGTAAAGAAGGAGTCCCTGGGTGGTACAAATGGTTAAACACTGCTACTAACCTAAAGGTTGGAGGTTCAGATCTACCCAGAAGCACCTCGGGAGAAAGACCTGGCAATCTACTTTCGAAAAATCAGCCATTGAAAACCCTATGGATTGGTTTCTTGGTTTGGAGGTTTAGGGTTTCGTGGTTTCATGGGACATCCTAGTTAATTGGCCTGATTGCATGTTTAGTGCTTCTGTTCCACTTCCTAGTTTGTTTCTTAGTTCCTGGGGTCTTAAAAGCTTGCGGTGGGCCATCCAAGGCATGACAATTGATCTGTATCTGCCTGAAGCAACAGAGGAAGGAGAATCAGGAATAGGAGGAGGATATGGAATGTGTGGTTGATTGCCACCATGAACAACTGCCTCCTTTACCATGAGACCAGAAGAACTGGATAGTGTCCAGCTACCATTATTGAATGTTTTGATCAAAGATTCTATAGAATAATCTTTGCAGACCAGAATTTCAAATTCTCATGGACTGCGGACTTTCTGGAGCCATGGAGGCTGGATGAACCCCTGAAACTATTGCCCTGAGATACTCTTTAAACCTGAAAGCAAAAATATCCCCTGAAGTCTTCTTAAAACCAGACAACAGTTTAGCTTAACTAGTAAAAAATGCCTGCCTTGAGCATTATGCTCTTTTAAGAACTACCAATATGGGATCAAAGTGACAACAGTAACTCAAAAGGTTAAGTAGGAACCTTAGGGGGCAGTGAGTGTCTTAGTCATCTAGTGCTGCTATAACAGAAATACCCCAGGTGGATGGCTTTAACAAAGAGAAATTTATTCTTTCACAGTCTAGGAGGCTAGAATTCTGAATTCAGGGTGCCAGCTCCAAAGGAAGGCTTTCTTTCCCTGTTGGCTCTGGGGAAAGGTCCTTGTCATCAATCTTCCCCTGGTCAAGGAGCTTCTCAGCTCAGGGACCCTGGGTCCAAAGGACGTGCTGTTCTCCTGACTCTTCTTGCTTGGTGGTAATGAGGTACCCCATGTCTCTCTGCCTGCTTCTCTCTTTTATATCTCAAAGAGATTGACTTAAAACACAACCTAAACTTGTAGATTGAGTCCTGCCTCATTGACATAGCTGCCAATAATCCCACCTCATTAACATCATAGAGGTAGAATTTACAACATATAGGAAAATCACATCAGATGACAAAATGGTAGACAGTCACACAATATTGGAAATTATGTTGACATATTTTGAGGGGACACAGTTCAATCCATAACAATGAATTTATGTGAATGGGGGAGGTACAACTCAGAAAAGAAGAGTTAGAATGGTTATACAACTCAAAGAATGTATTCAGTGTCACTGAATTGTATATGTAGCTACTTGAATTGGTGTATTTTAGTGTGTATGTTCTTAATAACAACAACAAAAGGAAAAAGAAAATCCCATGGAGCACAGTTCTACTCTGACACACATGAGGTTGCTATGAGTCAGGACCAACTCAACAGCAGCTGGTTTAGATGATAAAGAAGGCAACTGATACTTTTATTCACCAGAAAATCTCACTAGCACATCATTTTGGTTCAGAAAAATGGGAGTGTCCTCTTGAAGAGAAACTCATTTTTCTGATTTCATTTGTTTCTTTCTTAAAGAAGAGAATTTATGCATTTTGATCTCTGCACAGCCAGTATCCTAACAAGTATTTTGGTTTCTGTTTCAGGACCTGCGTACAGGAGAAGAACAGAACGAGGTGGGAAGGGAGACTTCTGACGCCATCATGCAGCGAAGTATCATGTAAGGACCCTGTTCCCCCCGTCACTCTCAGTCTAATGCTCTCCAAGGCCTCTGCTTCTTTCTCCAAATCTGTGCCTTTTCTTGGAAGAACTCAAGTGAGACTTTGTCTTAGTTAACTAGTGCTGCTGTAACAGAAATACCACAAGTGGGGGGCTTTAAAGAACAGAATTTTATCTTCTCATCATTCAGAAGGCTGCAAGTCCAGATTCAGGGACTGGCTCTAGGGGAAGTCCTTCCCCATCTAGTTCAGCTTCTAGTAGCTGTCAGCAATCCTTGGGTTCCTGGGCTTGTAGATGCAAATTGGGGTGGGGACAGGAGCCACCAGTCTCAGCCACAGGGACCCTCAGCTTGTTCACTCTTGATTCCAGAACCTATGGGACTTGGTGGTGTGATGTAGATGGGGACCCTTCCCAAACTGGGTTGAGAGGGGCTCATGGTCATCTGTCTGTCTCATACCCCTGTGTTTTATCTCTGGTCTGTTCTGGGGTGGTTTTGGTTATAATTTAGAAGTGATTAGGTTTAAGCCCACCCTACTCTGGTATGACCTCATTAACACAACAAAAGAAAAACCCCTATTCCCAAACAGGGTTATATGTAATAGGTACAGGGGTTAGGATTTCAACACATATTTTAGGGGGACACAATTCAATCCATAACAGACTTCAGGTTGGATTTTCCAGGGATTGGGCGGGGTGGAGAATGGGGAGTGGGATATGGAAGAAGGGGAGTATATTTGCCACAATTTTTTGTGTTTCAGGAGGCAGAAACCCTAACCCAGTGGTTCTCAACTGGTGATAGTTTTGCCTCCCAGGAGACATCTGGCAAGGTCTGAAGACATTTTTGGTTGTCATGGCTAGAGGAGGGCCATTGATTTCTAGTGGGTTCCAACTCCTAGCAACCCTATATGACAGAGTAGAACTTCCCTATGGGGTTTCCAAGGCTATAATCTTTACAGAAGCAGACTGCCACATCTTTCCCCTGTGTAGCAGCTGGTGGGTTGAACCACTGACCTTTCAGTTAGCAGCTGAGCACTTAACCGTGGTACCACCAGGTCTTCTTGGGTGAAAGGGCAGACTCACTCAAACCACGTACTGAGAGACTTTGGGGGGCAGCTCCACCATGCATCACTGTGTCGTACTGTAGTGGCTTGTGTGTTGCTATGATGCTGGAAGCTGTGCCATTGGTATTTCAAATACCAACAGAGTCACCCGTGGTGGGTAGGCTTCAGCAGAGCTTCCCGACTACGACAGACTAGGAAGGAAGACCTGGCAATCCACTTTAGAAAAAAAATAAATAACCAGTGAAAACCTTATGGATCACAACAGAACATTGTCCAATACAGTGCTGAGCCCCTCAGGTTGGAATGGCACAGGACTGGGTAGCATTTCATTCTGTTATAGATCGGGTTACTGTGAGTCAGAGCCGACTTGACAGCACCCAACAACAGCTCCAAGAGGAAGATGGAGGGGCTGTTATCAGAAGGAAGGAATGGGTGCTAGACAGATCTAGCCCGGGACATCCTTGACAGGTTGCAAGCACCCCCCTGCCCCAGCCTCATCTGACAGAGGAGAGGCCGTCCGGTGAGGTGGAATCAACCTGGGATTATGGGATTGGGGCCCTGCTCCATCGTTCGCTAGTCCCATGACCTCTGGTGTACTAGTTAGCATTTGTGTGACCTCTGCTGTACTAGTTATCATTTGTGCTTCGTTGTGAGTAACAGAAACCTGGGAGATGGTGGCTTTACACAAACTCTGGGTTGCATTTTTCTCAATTGACAAAAAATCTGGGGATAATTTGTCCTGGGCTGATAGCACCTGTTATGGATTGAATTGTGTCCTCAAGAATATGTGTTGTCAGTTTATAAAGACATTGTTCTAGGTTCTACCTTGGTGAGTAGCATCTGGGGTCTTAAAAGCCTGTGAGCAGCCATCTAAGGTACTCCACTGGTCTCACCCGTTCGGGAGCAAGGGAGAATGAGGAGAACAGGATACAAGGAAAAGATTATTCCAAAGGACTAATGGACCACAGCTACCATGGCCTCCACCAGACTGAGTCCAGTATAGCTAGTTGGTGCCCGGGTACCACCACTGACTGCTGTGACCGGGATCACAACAGAGGGTTCTGGACAGAGCTGGAGAAGGATGTAGGATAAAAATTCTAACACAAAAAAAAGACCAGATTTACTGGTCTGACAGAGACTGGAGAAACCCTGAGAGTATGGCTCCTGGACACCCTTTTAGCTTAGTGATGAAGTCACTCCTGAGGTTCACCGTTCAGCTGGGGTTTGGACAGCCCCATAAAACACAATGGGACTAATGAGGCACAGCAGTCCAGGGACAAGGACTAGAAGGCAGGAGGGAACGGGAAAGCTGGTGATAGGGAACCCAAGGTTGAGAAGGGTGAGTGTTGACATGTTGTGGGGTTGTTAACCATTGTCATAGGGCGATATGTGTACTAACTGTTTAATGAGAAACTATTTTGTTCTGTAAACCTTCATCTAAAGTGAGAATAGCAGCACAATTGGAAAAATGTAATCAAAGTAACTGAATTGTACATGTAGAAATTTTTGAAATGGTGTATCTTTG